AGTCGTCTTGAGATCCATGTCGACGCTTTTGGCACTCACTAGTTTCAACGTTATAGGCTTGGGTCCAAAAACTGAACGTTCTTCGAATTTTCCTTGACTCTATACTCTCCGAACGGTAATCCTATGCCAACGGCTAAATATAACATATGTTAAAATGCATGACACATCAGGCTAATAAGAAGTTGATGATAACTCAAAAGTGGCAAAAACAACATGCTGATGCTCATCGTAAAGAAGTGGTTTTTGATGAAGTATATCATGTTTGATTATCTGCAATGAATTTGTCTCTTGTAGAAAAATCAAAATTAAACTCTGGATTCATTGGTACCTTTTTGGTTTTGAAGCGTGTTGATGAAGTGTCATACAAGTTGAAACTTTTGTCACATATGAAAATACATGAAGTATCCCATAATCAAAACAATTCATCAACCAACCAGCACCACCTTCTCTTCCAACTTTGATAACAGATCCTGAGAAGTTTGAGGTAGACAAGATACTCAAGAAATGTATTTGAGGTCATAAATATACTAAAGTCAAGTGTTTGATTCAATGAAAATTCTATCCATCATATGAATCAACTTGAGAACCAGCTAAAAATTTAACAAATGCATCTTTGATAATTTAGAAATTTAATTGTCTGTGCAACAAGAATGTTGCATCTTAAAAGGAGGGAGGTTTGTAACTATCTTTATTAAGTTAGAACTAAAGTAGTGGTTACTCAAGACGTAATGGAGTAGATGATAGTGGATTATTTACAATGTCACGTCAGCCATCCATGTGCTAGTTAATATGTTAGTTAGAAACGACATGTCATCAATCCGTGTGCTTGTTAGGTAAGGATTGATTTTACTAGTTGGTGTGTTAGTTAGTAATGACACGTTAGCAATCCCTGTGCTCTTTAGGTTTATCTGCCATGTCACCAATCCACTATGAGTATATTTGATGTTGGGAATGAGATCTTATCTCCTTGTACTTATTGGAAAGAGCTATATAAAGGAGAGTATAACCATTGTTGGTATCTCTCATCTTCATAGTTTATGTTTTCATTTTTGAGTGAACTTTTCTCCAAATCCTATTGTTGCAAAAGTCTATCCATCATATTAATCAATTTGAGAACTAGCTAAAAGTTTTGGAGATGCACCTTTGATAGTTCAAGAGTTTGAACATATGTGCAATGAGTAAGTTGCATCTTAAAAAGAGTAAGGTTTGTAACCATCTTTAGTTAGTTAAAAAATAAAATAGAGTTTACTCAATATTGATTAGAATTTATGATATTGAAACATCTACAATGTCACATCAGTCATTTGTGTGTTAGTTAGTTAATGTGCTAGTTGGAAACGACACATCATTATTCTGTGTGTTTGTTAGTTAAGGATTAAGTGTGCTAGTTGGTGTGTTTGTTGGGAGGAACACGTTAGCAATCCCACTAAGGAGTGAATTGGATGACGAGGATGAGATATTATCTTCTTGTATTTTTTGATAAATGTTAGGAGAGTTTAATCATTGTTGATATCTCTCATACTTATAGTTTATGTTTCCATCTTCGAATGAGTTTCTCTCTGAACCCTAGTGTTACAACGTAGCACTTTGAATGAACCACATACTTTTTGTGTTGTCTTGAGTGTGTTGACAATCATGTGCTTCTTGTAACATTTCTCTGGTATTATGTGTTACATCCAATACTTTTCAAATTAAAATATTAAAAAATTTAATCAATTAATATATATTTAATTGTTAACAAATTTTTTTCAATACTCTAGTTTTAAAAAAAATCTAATATTTTCCATGTTCAACTTTGAATTATCATGATATTTTTGGAAGAACTATATATAATCATATCGATGAATATGATAGATTTGTAATTTTATGTTAAATCATGTACATGATGGAATTACCTTGCTCCATCATTGTCATCTTAAGCTAGTTTTAAATGTTTCATTAGGTTATGTAAAGCAAGTTGTGTGTAATACATTATAGTTAATGTTAAAAAATATGTAAAAATCTTAATTATACACATGATAAATGTGTGATTAGCATGTTAGATCATGAACATGATGAAGTTACTTGCTACATCATTGTTGTTTTGAGCTAGTTCCAAATGCTTCATTAGGTTATCTAAAGCAAAGTATATGTGATACATTAGAGCTACATTTATATAGTTTTGATGTAGATGCAAAGTTTTCAGCTCATCTCAATCAACATCAAATCTATTTATATTTAAAATATATTTTGAAATTGTTAGTGACAACGTTAAATTCAATTTGAAATTTTTAATAAATATGTTCAATGTGACTTTAATCATAGGTGCACATGAAAATAGAAATAGATTTTAATAAAATCAGGTTTGTAAAAATAGTATTGTAAATATGTATGTATATATATATATATATATATATATATATATCAACATGTATTTCAATAAAAAAATTCATTTTGAATAGTTTTCTTACAAACTAAAATAAAATTTTTTTTCGCAATTTTTATAACATATACATAATATAAAATTTAGATATTTTTCTCCTAAATTTTTTAATTGTTTAATATAAATTTATATCAGTTTTTTTATAAAAGAAACATAATGTATCAAAATAATATTTTTAAGCAAAAACAACACACGTACATACATACTACGTATAATTGGTTCGCCACTCTCAAACTACATCTACTAAAAGTGATATTTTCTCTATCAAGTAGTGCACCATGCCCCACCATGCACCACACTCTTCTGAAATATATTCAACATCTTTTCTTCAGCATGATCTAGCTACCCCGGACTGTACCAACTTTTATCCATCTTGACATAAAATCAACGAATATTTTATTTCATATGGAATTGGCTGTTTTATGAAACCTTCCGGCTTTTGCTTTGTACTCAAGCCGAAGAACTCTTCAATGCCATTTTTTAATTCTGTGACTATCTCTTGCCAACTTTCTCAAAGTCGAGTGTAGCGCTCCCACACACTCTCATTTTGGCTTGGACCGACGACAATTCCAGATCAAGACAATGCATATGCCGCGCTTGTCGGAAGTCTGCCAATTACTCATTTTTTAATTCTCTTAGCATTTGTCATAACATATAAAAGAGATTGTGTTAAAAAACAATCTCCATGGTATATTGTGCTAGGTCAGATATTATTTGCCATGATGTCATTTAGTTGAGCCTTCAAAATTTAAAGTTGTTTCCAATGTGAGATTAATTTCATTTATATCTCGACATCATTACTGTGAATAAGAAAAATTTATTGGTAATGCCTTGTAGTTTGCGGATTTTGGCTAGTCCATATTATGACTGTTCATTGTGGAATTTATGTTCTTTGGCAGAACTTGATGTTATGCTTGTCCATATAGTGACCTCGATGTTCAGTTGCTCTGTTACGTCAGATTTCGAGCTTCATCATCTGCTATTGATGAGCAATCGGATTATCACAGATTTTTTATAGGCTTTTGACAAAAATTTGTTGATACAAGATTTTGGTTTGATGTAGACTAATTTTGTATGCACTACTATTTATCAGGTTGAATCTCCGTTTCTCGTTCACTAGTACAATTTTCTGTGGGCAGAAGCTAGTGGGATGTTTAAGAAGTGAATCGTTAGAGGATCCGGTTGGCACATTCGAGTAGTATAGAGATGGATGATTGTAGTCAATTTTGACATAGTATCATGAAAGTAAATAGAGTGATTTTTACTTCCACTTTATTGAAAAAATAATTTTTTTCTGTATACTGTGTTTAATCATTTAGTATATAATATACGCATATTTTTTCTAGTTAAGTCATTAGACATAGCTTTAACTATTTGACTACGAAGTTTTCATGTGTGAATTTGAGAGCAAAGTAATTTACGTGTAATGTTTTGAAATTTTGACTAACATCTTGTCACTTTACATTTGAGAGAGATGTATGACATATATTAACAGTTCTCATATGCTAATATTGCATATATATAGAAGGTATTTGATCTAAAGACAGACAACTGTTGATATGAACGGAGGAGGTTGATGAGTATCAGAGCCAATCTGTAATTGATTTAAGAGAATCAAGTTACAATTTCAACGCTGATGGATATTGATGTATCGCAGGATACATTTCTAGAGAGTTTTTTTAACCACTTTTATAAAAAAAACAGTCTTGTGTTTATGTAACCACTAAAGTTTCAAAGTATAAAAATATGTAACGATAACAATAACGCAAATACATTGGAGTTTTATGTACTTAAGGATTCACATTTTAATATATTTGCAAGATTGTGTTAAAAAATTGATCTTAATTTATTTAGTTACCATAAATTTCAGTGATCTTGAATGAGCACTAAGCATTGCTATACACATGAATTAATCTTTTTTCTATATGAAACATCATGTGTTCATGTTGTTTGAATAAAGATTATTCTAAACATTTCATACATTCTTAATGTTGTAGGTATTCTAGATACATTAAAATAAGTTTTACATGATCATGTTACTAGTCTAGACATGGAAGATTATTATTACTTTTTTTTTACAATATTTAATACAATAGTGTAGATTGTAACTGAAAATTAGTTGAGAAAAAAGTTATAAATTTTGAAGTTTTATTGGTAGTTACTTGCGTTATGTAGAAGATGAAGAAGAATGTTAAAAGGAAGGGTTAAGGAAAATCGGTCACTTTTGGGGCAAGAATTCGAGCAAGGAATTCTTTCACAAGGTTGGGATTTTTCTGATGAAGTTGGATGCCGCACCGGGAGTCGAACTTTCTAGCCTAGACGGATAAGGGAAAAAGGTAACAACTACAGCAATCACAGGTTTGCGTTTATTCCCTTCCTTTTGCTATACCATTTGGGACCCTTTCACACATGGGAAAGGTTCTTTTGTACTTACTGAACAAGGTTCATTCTCGCACTACGGCGCAGACATGGCGCTAGACGGACGGTACACGTGCAGAAACCCAAAACCTCCTGAAACTTGGACGTCAGTATGCTGACTGGACCTGTGACTTCAAAACTCGGTAATGCATCTTACGACTCAATATACTCCGTTCTGTCAGTGGATTTTCTTGATCGTGCATTTAGTAAGGACCTCAATTTTGACATTGACAATTATCTTGTCACGAAGGTTTGCTGTAGTTGATTGTTTACCGAGTGTTGGCCACACAAGCTTCTGCTTCTGGGTGGTGTCTTTCGGATTGACCAAACACCCCTCTTGCGTTCCTTGATCTTGGTGGAGATCAGATTCTTTCAGAGTCTCTGTAAGATTGTCGATCTTTTGATTACATTCTTGAGGTTTAAAATAAATTTTTGTGGGAGGTTTGCATTTTTTCGGAGAATGATGTTAAAGAATGTACACCATGGGGCTTGTGATTCTTAAACCGTTGATCGTAACTTCAGAGATGGTGTCCAGTTCAATCAGTAAAATAGAAATGAAGAGTTGGCGCTATAATACGCTTGAGGACACTGTAGACGTGAAAGATGGCCAAGTTCGGGCGGCGTGTCATGAGCCAGCAGGAGAAACCAGAGGCGGAAAACACAGGAATTATCTTAGAACGGACCTCTCGCTGCAGCACAACAAGCCTTTGCCCATTTGACGAAAGCGACCGCTTGAGTATCGTATAAGGGATAGAAGGACTCAATTGTATGTCTCGCTGTACCGACACGTGACGTGGTCCTTCTTACTCGACGTTTGCAGGAATTTGACTTGCACACAGACTTCTGGACATTGGAGCAGTTCATGGGTGAGAAAAGGCACTTGGACCATTGAGACCGTCCTCTGTTAGGTGACATGGAGGAAATTGCGAAGGAGGGCATAGAAGATAAAGTTCAGAAGTTTTTACAATGGATGCAGGTTGACTTTTTTTTCTTCACCTTTTTTTTTCTTATGGATGAGTAAATTTCATTGAACATTGCTGGATGGTCGTACGAAGGAACAGAGTTACAAAATCCAGAGGGAAGTGGTATACAGCTTTCTTTCAGTCGGGAATTAGCTTTGTCAAAGTTTTAGGCGACTTTTCCACGTTCGCACTTTTTGAAGTTTTCAAAGAAGTATGGAAGGTACAAGTTTGAAGATTCTTCATACTTTCATCCCTGGTCTTTCCTGCGAAACTTCTAGCAGCTGATCTCGTTGAATGGTATTTCAGATAGATTTATTAATTGGTTTCTCAACAGGTCAATGGAGCAGTCCTGAAGAGCTGTTATTTGAAGCCTTCCGCGCAAGACGCAGAGGCTGGGCTGGGCTTATATACAAGAGGATATTGTTCCAATGATGGTCTGTATTTCATTCATTTGAAGTCGTGCTTTCACTAACTCAGTCGTCTTTGTTTCCAACAGCGCCTGCTGAACACAGTACCTTCACCTGTTAAAATACTGAGTTGTTTGCTCATGCTTTTTTGCAGAGGTCCTCATGGTGATTCCTCTCGTTCTGGCAATCACACCCATGACTGTACTCCAGGATCCATTGGTAGGTCATCTCTTTGGCACGGTGTTTGCAGATGGACAGGTAGATGACAGGCATGTCATGATACTCTATCTCATGGTGGAGCGCGCTCTTGGGTGTTCTTCTTTCTGGGAACCGTATCCGTATATTTGAAATTTTTTTGTGTAGATATCAAATTATATTTTATTGAAGGCTTAGCCATGAGCACAAGCTCATAGATTACTAAGGACTTGAAAAGTGCCAGTTATTACTTTAAGCCAAACAAATTTAGTTTTGCTCCCGAGAGTTTGATGAAGTCTTTCCGCTGTTTCATTCACAAAATTAAGAAATTTATTCTTGACAGTACTACTGGCATTGTTATGATGAATTGACATCGTCAGATATTTGAATATGCTTCCCAAGAAATTTGGAACGAGTGTACTCTTTTCCGAAGATGAATTGCTGGAGTTGAAGGGAACCTCTTTGTATAACGCGACAAAACTCCAGGTGTTTTCTTCATCCTCTTTAACATTTTGTAGATGGAGTAGTCAAAATTTCACATATATCGCAATTGAAAATTTTCAGTTTGTCACTATTTCCATTTGACACTATTTTCGCCCTGGCCTTTCACATCAAATGATACGTGCCATGATACGTGCCATGAAACCTGTCAAGCATCAAGGTACATGAGTTGTTGCTCCTAAAGTAGTAGAGGCTCAACATAGTCTGAACCATATAGGTAGACTATTCAACATAGAAGTCGATTTTTAGAAAACTTATCGACGTCCTGTTTACTTTACTTCTTGTTATGCAGAAAGCCGCCTTGGGCCAACAGTTTACAGAAAAGGTGAAGCCTATCGTGGAATCGATATTGGAATCTGTTCAGTGCACCAGAAGGTATGGCAGCCTAATTTCAAGTTTTTCTGATGGGTATTTCCTGGAGAGCTGAAGTGGGGGAATTTATTTATCCAACTGTTCATAATTTCAACTTGACTTGCTTGGTTGCAGGGAAGTCACAATGGAAGACTATTTGTGGTAGTTTAGCTCAACACCTCCTTTCAAATTTTGGTTTTTTTTGTTTGCTACAAAGCCGATCTATTGATGCCGGTAGTCCTCGATAGCGGAAGAAGGTGCATATGTTCTCCGCAGGTACTGGTTGTCTTTGTAGGGTTACATCGCCAGACTGACAGGAGTATCTGTCACATATATCAGTCATTCTTGAATTTGACGGAGAAAATGCAGGGCGAACTTCATATTTTGGACCCGTGCCCTTACGATACCTTGCCCACATTCTATGGTTTGTCCTCCAACTGTGCCAACACCAGTATCTTCACTATATCAAAAGAAACAGGAGATGACAGAAACGATGGGTGTGGATAGTTCAGTCTTCGACTCTTTACGGTTAGACAGTGAGGGTCATAAGCAACATTCGTTCTCAAGTACCTCACCGCAAATACTTGAGTCGGAGAATGCTCTTCAAGAAAGCGAACGTGATGAAGAGCAGAATGGATACAAATTAAGTCTTCCAGTGAATGGGGTCAGTTTGAGTAAGAAGGGTGACGAAAACTACCAGCATGTCCAGGAGCCTCCGCCAGACTTTCAAGAAAGTGGAGATTGTCAAGTACGTCCACCTGAGATGGTCGAAGGGCTTGTTCCAGGAATTGACTTCTGCAACCACGGTCAGAGGTTCTTTTTCTACTTTATGTGATCGCTCACCTTTTGCTTCTTCCTTTGAGGCAGGAAGTGATTCATTTACGTCCAAAGTAGGAGTTCTGGTTTTACCTTCCAGGTTGAATAAGACCATTTGGCTTAACGTTGTAAGTCTGCGAATTACCGTCTTAGTAGTTTTGGAATGGAAGATACTAAACTTGCCACTACAGCTGTTCGAGGAGTTGCTCGATGGGAGGTAGACGGTTCAGACGGCTCGATCACTGGTATTTCAAACTCTATGTATTTGGTCACAGGTATTTTCACATTCTATTTGTTCGATCCTTATTGTATGAACATGATGAATGAACATCCCACGCTTCTTTACTATTCTTTCAGTATACCCAATCGGTTGCATTGAAAAGAATTTTTTTTTCCTAGTCCTTAAGTGTGAAAATGAATCTAGTGAATGATTGACTTGGTGCCAGGTCCTAAGTCCATTTCTGCAAACACTGAGATTACCATCTGCTACGGTAACAAAAGCAATGAGGTACTTGTTTGAAATAATATAAGTAGTTCTGCAATCCAAGTAAGAATACTCAGATTGCTAGATCTTATGATCTTTACCCTTGTCATCAAGAGTACACTAGTTTTCTAATCATTTGTCTGAGTCTTGGATCTCTTGAATATCTATGTGAATGAATTCTTCACTTACAGATTATTAGCGATTAACATGAATTGAATGTTCAGGAACTTCTTTATCTCTACGGCTTCGTGCTTGATAACAATCCGGATGATTATTTGATGGTAAGATGCCCCCAAACGCTTTCGTCTCAGAAACAAAATAGTGAGATACCTTTTCATGGATTCTCAAGTTATGAATCAAGGTTTAACTTGTGTGATATTCCTACAGTGAACCAACCGAATAAGAAATTAATGGTCGGTGGTGATAGAATTGTACATTTAGTCGATGATATCGAAGTAATGGCGATAGTCTAAGTTGTATAAAAGTAGATGGTCGAACTAGAGACAACAATTTGACAGAAAAACTCAATAACCAGAGAAAGTTTGAGAGGAACTCCTCTTGGGATACTCAAATTATATTTAATACCAAGTGAATCTTTCTGCTTCTCATGGAGCGAACTGTTGAACCACTGGTTGCACTATAATTTCACAGGTGCACTTTCCCATTCAAGCACTGGAAGACGGTGAGTGCCCTGAGGCGAAGTCACAGTTGCTTGAGAATCAGGTCAGTTGGCACTATCTGTCCATGAGAGAATATCATTGAGTTGTTAGGTTTGAGGGTTCCAGTCCTACACCCTGATCCCATTATGGTATTATTTAATGAAAATGGGTGAGGGTTTTATTTTCTGAATCCTACTTTCTGGAATATATTTGAGGAAGTCATCGTCTGAATAAACTTTACATACACAACATCAAAAGAAGTCAGATATTGTAGTTCGTGTTTAAGCCTTCTACAGAATTGAGTTATTCTTGAAACTATTGGAAAATTTACTCAAGTCACTGTTTCTCATGAAATTGGGGCTGAAATTGGTCATGACAGGAACTACCACTGCGATGGCTCCTAACTTCTTCCATATTACAAGGAGGATATTTGAGTGAGCGATGTAATAAAGACTCCAAACCGTTTGACTGTACTTCGGAAGTCAAAGAGCATCCAGCCTATCGATTCAGTTGGAGTGGACAGCGGAAACCTCCACCTGGAGTTAGACACCAAGTTTTTCCCGAGGATATGATGGGTGCACTTAGAATAATTGCGATGACTGAAGAAGAGATTCAGGGTGTACAGAATCTGCTAGAGGAGGTTTGTGAATTTCCCCTGCCTTGAATTTATAATTGCTGTTGCAATGCTGAAGATCTAAACATATGCAATTAGAGAAACCAAATAAAAAAACTTCCGAATTTGTTATTGTTCCCAGTGACGAAATTTAGATGCTATGCGGTGATAAACTGTGACTTATGATCAAATTAGAAGGAAAGAAATTGGTCTTACAAACTTACACGTTCTTGGCCCTTGGTAATCATGTAAAATGATCACGGAAAGCAATGGTAGGATTGAAGTCCCCGAATTGAATGGTAGGATTGCTGTTGCTGTATCTGTCAGGATTACTTTGAATTACTAAAAGTACTGTGCTACTGGACACTTTCGGTTTTGGAAGTCTCATGAGAACACTCTTTTATTTAAACAGCTTTCAGAATCCAGCCAACGGTTGCCATCAACCGAGGATGTAAAGGCAGCTGTTTGGGAAGTATGTGGAGATGTAGGTGCTTTGCAGCTACTACAGGATTTGCTAACATCCAGGTTTCAGTCAACTTTTCCTGTCCATCTGTTCGTCATTCATTTCAATTTTTATTACTATAGTTTCCTCTCCTTCATTATGGATTAGTTGGTATCCTAATCGATCAACGTTACTTTTAGTAGATGAAAGCAATGAGGAAAGTGTTTCTCTTATGTCCTGCTTGCATTCAACTTTATGGATCTTGAAGACCCCAAGGACCGCACTGATTACTTCAACTCGTCTACGCTTATTATACATGGAACGTCAGGCATGAAGTAAATGCTTTGCCTAAGTTTTATTTAGGTATATACAGGCCTTAAATGTTTTAGATCTTGTGGAGCTGGATCTATGCTCTATTTTGTTTATCAAATATCGTTGTTCTGACGTTTTCTACATTATGTGTGATTTTAGGGTACTGGCATTGGAAGAAGGGACCGGGCCTGAATATTTAGATTCTGATCTTCTTGCCAAACATCGTCAGGCCAAAGCTGATTTAGAGAAAAACCTGCAGCAGGGCAGGTATGCTGCTTATGTTGATTATAGTAATGTGTGGGAATATGAGAAGCTTCATGTCAGTTAATCCAGGAAAATAAACGTTGCATATGAATCATTCTGATACTCTTGATATGTTATCGGAAGTCTGATGTTCTCTATGCTTGCAGTGTGTGCGAAGGGGATAATGATCTCATGAATCCTGATCTGCTGAGCAGAAACAAGCGGGCATGTGTGGTGTATCGGAAAGGTCAGAAACACTTAGCAACACAATTTTTAAAAGAAGTAGAATATGCTCTTGAGAGGTGGATTAGTTGAATATATAGCACTTTAGACAGATATTTTTGTACGCAGATGAGCTCCTAGCCATCACATAAACATAAACACAGACAAACGTAGAAATCAGAACACTAGGTTCGTCTGCACCTAGTGTCATACTTTGTGCACAAGCTCATGTACGGTAGTGCAATCTTTTCCAATCTAGTGCAAACACCAGGATGGTTGAGAAAGATGTATGTTTATAGGATGTGGCTATAAAGCTGAAGTGGTTATGGCAGCATTGATGTAAATTGCCTTTTATCTATGCAAATATTCTGTCCCCTTGCTTTTTGGAATATTAATGCAGGAGTTCTTATACTACCTTTTAATCAAGGGAATGCGAATGATATTCTTCAGTTCGTCGAAAAGATAAGAAAGTCCATAACAGTGACTTTGTTTCATTCCCCATATTAATCCCCCAATTGGACTCAAATACCTCATAATATTGTTTTCCTACGTTCTGCATCATGTGCCTCTGCTTCTCGAGATCAATCTGTCCACGATATCTAAAGTTTGGCAGGTTGTTCTCCTCTACTGCGTCGAGTTGCAAGATCGCTTTAACCATCTTGCACTTTTCCCGTTCTACTATCATTTCTTAAAATTTGGAACCATCTATTAATTTGACGAATAATGTGAAACGTCCACTTCCAGATATTGACTTTAATGGAAGAGAGAAGCTGTTGTTGAATGATTTCGCAGTTCTGCACTTTTCTCAATGAACATGGAATTCGTAATAACTGACAAGCTATAGTTGTCTTCATGTGAGTAGACTCCAGGTTGCTTGCCGACAATGACTGGAAGTGGGAACAGGCAGATACGGTGAGGTTTAAGAATTACCAACGCTGCTTTTCATCACTGCTCACAGCTCAGTATTGTGAAAATGTGGAAAATGTTTCGATATATGGTGCAGTCTTGTTTGGGTCCACCCAAATAGAAAGGCATACATCGGTGTGGAAGTTGGCAAAGTCAAAAATTCCTTCAGTCACTGTGGTCTTGACACTGTAAAAGCTAATGCGTGGTCAAAGATGTTGCAATCAGGTACAGTACAATGATCCTCTAGAATCAGTTTCTGATCTGGTATACAGCGGAGACACCCCCATCGCAGCTTTTCTCCGGCTCTCGTAGACTTTCCGCACATTCGCCGCCACACTCCATTCATGTCCTTGGAAGACCGCGGACTGACGTCTGCTCTCGAGGAAACCCTACTATTTCCTTTTCTTCATCCGCTTTTAACTGCAAAAACGACATACTAAATAAGACAGGGCCTGGAGTTGACCTCTTGCGTATAGCAATAAATGTACCCATCACACGCATACACATCTAAACAATAACGAAACTTAAACGTGCAAACCATCCTTGCTATATTGATTGGTCCACCTTCTCCCATATAAGAATAAAAAATCTACGCATATCTACATTGATGAAATTAAATATCTACACCGTTTCTTCCATATTGTCTCGATATCGATTCTAGTAGGACATATAAACCTAGCTATTGGAACCTAAACCCGTATAACCCCTTATTCCATCCCCTGTGCTACTTGCGGGCCTTTCCATGACTTCCGTATATTCCTAGTGCCTTTTGCCACACAACCAAAAAGTGAAAACCGGCCATATGTGAATTCTAAATGTAAGTTACTCCGGAGAGCGAGTTGAAAACCATAAAAACCTGGAGCTGTTCCCGGTCTTTATATTTCGTCGAGTATTGTCCTGTCGACCATACGGACACTCGTGGTACAGGATCGCATATTCCAAAAGCAACATCAATTGTGAAGGTCACAAAATAAATCAACACACACGCAGTAAAACAACGAAAAAAAGGACCTCATCGAAATCTTGCATGGATGAAACCAAACGTACCATGGGCCTAGTACCCACTAGCATCACATTAGGGAATGTCCTACAAAACCTAATATATCCTAATGATCTAGGTTGAACAATCTACACACATCATGAGCAATCTAAGAAACATCACCTACTGCTCTCTTATGGATTGCAGACCCTAAGTCTCTATGTAGAGAAGTGAAATCGGCTATCAATAATATTCAGTTGACTAACCTAAAGAAAGTGAATTTCTCGAATGATAGACTAGTATGACAGACTTTCATGACCTCTCTCACAAACATGTCAAACAAAAGTATAATCTAAGTGATAAACTCCTATACTTGGACGTCTTGGTTCATTGCGACTCTAATTACTGTTTGTCTAGGAGTACAGTTATAAATCTAGTCCAAAATTCTGTTAGATTTAAAATCTGTCACCGCATACTCTGAATCAACAACTTAATTTTTCTAAATCAAGAACATATGTGACCAAAATTGAAATCAATTATAAAACATACCAACGTTTTTTCCGTATTGGAGGGTAAAATTCTTTCATGGAATAGCAATCGATCTTTTTTGTAACAATATCATGAATAAATTGCCTTTGCAGTATAAGTGATTGATGAGTTATGTCATCATTTGTCACATTCATATGTGATCGATGAAAATGTAGATTGGCGGATTGAGCAAAGATATAAGACCATTAATTATTAAAGATGATTTATGATGCATAGTCGATTCAAGATTTGAAAGTATGACTAAACCTGAACCTATGAGCCGTAGGTTCAGGTTTAACATCCTATTTGAGTGCATCAGTCCATTCCTTATCCTATCGAATGTACTGATGCACTAAATCTATTATTAGTCTATCAAGTTTACCTGTATACTCCTATCTCAATCACAACGGAGATAAATAGTTAACGATTCATGATTCATGAAAGATTATTAACAGTTTTTTAATGTTATGAATATTTTTTGATGATTTTTTTTAATCCATCATGTACAAAAAGATCATTTTTTGTTCACAAATTCTCTTCAGAGTATATATTTGAGTTCACATGATAGATGAAATCAAACTCTTGAAATTACATATATATGATGATTTCAAAGTTCATGCATGTTTTTTCCCTAAAGATTTAAATATTGTTCATGAAAGATATAATGTGATATTTCACACTATTTTACATTATTATCCTTCTCATTTTATTATTTTAAGAGTGTATGCTACTTGAAGCTTGTGCTATGAAAGTCAAATGAAATAATCATTAATAGAGCATTCATTTGAAAATAATCCTGATTTATAAACCTGGTATATGAAGATATTACGAAAGAAAAAAATTAAGTTACAAAATAATGATTTGAGTCTAAGAGCTTTATTGTCAGCCTATGAGTTGCTAGTCAATGTCTGTAAGGAGTAACGTAATTCAAGTAAAGGAGAGAATTTAAGAATCAAAAAGTACTTTTCACTTTTGATAAAAAACATTATTATCTAATTTCTTTGAAAAATATCAATCATTCTATCAAGCAACATAGAAAGAAACTTCAACAATTCGACGAAACGAGATAGCTGTCAGAGAGATTGAAGAACTTGATTTAAAATTCTGAAATAAAATGTACGTGATGACAATATTTTATAAATAGGCATAATGCGGTCGACATATTCTTGTGAATTATATCTTGAACATACACAAACTGAAACAATTAGCGGATTTTTAATATAATTGTAATGTATTTACAATAAAATTAGAATTCTTATGCGAAATTTTTTCAGGTATTAACATCCACCTACAGATAGATTATTTCTTGTTTTGAAGATCAATTTGGAAAAAAAAATGAAAAATATTTTATATTAGTAATTTTTATAATGAAATAATATTAAAAATAAAGAATCAATGGTAATGTTATAAATTTATTATGTAAAATTAAATAGGAATATAATAAATAATTTTATTTTTTATAAAGTAGAAAATCAAATCAGAAAAATAAATAAGCTTTTGCAACCTCCGTACTATTGAGAATGTATGTTTAAAAGATTCAAATTTGTACTAAAAAAATCCAAAATGGTTAAAATATGGAAATTTTGCAATGTAAAATAAAAATTACATAGATTACACCGTGCATCATACATTGCATGATGTGTTGACATGAAAAAAAGAGTCTTATAAATTAACGATCAAAAGATAGAAGATAGTTTTTTTTTTATCATGTATATTTAATCTGCAAACTACTCATGTTTATTTTGTAATTTTCTAACATTATAATTAAAATCTAAATTTTTTAATTTCAATAATATTAAATTAAAAAATGTAATAAACTAATTAAAATATGAATCTTCTTTCATGATTAGATATTTTTCACAGTATTCAAGAATATTTTTCATAATTTGAATCTTAGAAAAAACTCATATCAAAATATCAAAATTTATGAGATTTATAAAAAAATATCACTGTTACATTCAAATAGTTTTCGTGTAAAGGTGACATTTTTTAGTCATTTATACGTTCGTCACGTTGATTAACATGTACTCTTACCAATTCTGAATCAACTTTCGCTCTATCCGTTGCACACTTAAGTATCATCAACTCATCATTTTATTGAAGTCACAAAGCTGCTAAGATATGTGGCAAACAGAGAAGAAAAACACCATTATAAAGTCTTACTATGAAGAAAGTAAGAGGGTACGATGGGATATTCGCCCCAATAAAGAAGTGTGATAAGGATCACAATAATTAATGAACATGTTGCATCCAAGGATATCATAGCTATATAGTTAGGACATATTGTATCATCAACATTCTACGGATTGCACTACGCTTGAAAAAGTTGCCTAGTATCGCATGCAGATAACTTAAATAATTTCATTCTGAAACACTGAGAAACATGGTAGCCAATGGATTAAAGTTGTAATCACCCTCTCTCTATGGATAATCCACTCTACAATGGACTAAAACCAGGAGCAGGACTACAGGTACCAGCGTAGCGTCACCCTCCAGTAGCGCAAGAAAGAACGATTGGTAGTAATAGATACTCAGAGGATTAAGCTTAGACACATTCAAGTACCCGATATTTACTGACGTCGTTGTAGATAAGGAGGAGATTTTATTGCATGGGATTTTATTCATTCTCATTACACTGCATGGGATTGCATCAGCGAATATGGATTATCCATTCACGAAGTTGCAGGAGTCATATTCATCGATCCGAGTTGCGGAAAAGATGACTCCAGGTCTAGAACATCCACGAGTTCCGAGCCTATGAAACTGAACATGGCTTACTTCAAGCATCGAGAATGGGAATGGGACGTGAATGGGAATGGGACGTTCGAAGATATTTGTTGTCATCTGTAGACTGACCTGTAATTGACTTTAGAGTCTCGAAATATGAACCGGTGCCCATAAACTCTACCATCGAGAGTGAGCGGGAGTGAATGCAAAGGGCAAGCGAGGCCCTGTTTCATAACAAAATGACACGCTCGAGGTTTCTCTCTGTAAAGTGCCCAATGGCACCTGGCAGCTGCCAGATCACCGTGTGAGTACAACCGGACCCCAAGTGACCCCACCGACATTTTTCTCTTCCAAGCTCCCAACCCTAGTGAGTGTAGCAGACGTTGAAGTCTCATATTCTCTTATGTAAGTTTTGAGGCCTTCCTTATAGAACCCCAACACATAAAAGGTCGCGGGCCAAGCATAATAAATATTAACGGGAAATTTAATTTTTGGATTAAAAAATTAAAAAATATTTTTTTGGACTTTTTTGTGTAAATGTCTCTTCCGCGAATGTTTGACAAGAAATAGGATGCTAAACAAAGAACCGTTGAATAAGGAGCACGCTTGATGCTTCTGCCTCGAGTGGCTCAGGACCTTTTCTTCTGCTTGCAAATTGAACTTTCGGAAATAACTCAATAAAAAATAAATAAAGTAATGGGGCTCGATGAGGTGTAGTCTGACGTGGAAGCTGCACATGCGAGTACGATTGTCGGAGTTAATTGTTGGGCGCCAAGGGCCTGGACTCTCCTACTGCTCGGGACTGTGTACCTCAATATTCGTCCCTAACCATGTACGTGGTGGCACCACGTTAACAGCTCCAGCCTCAGGGAGACACAACGCACAACGGAGTATTTGGACGCTTATAGATCGAGAGGAAGTCTTACAAGTGGTGCCACGTGTCCTTTTAGAAAATGGTACGATGGATTTTGACACGGAGTTGGGAATAAATGGGTAATTGGAATATAAGTCTTGCTTGGCGTTCACCCGACCAAAGGTACAATGTCGAAGTTGTTGGTACGTCGTTTTTGGAACTAACATGGGGTGCTCTATTCCTTTGGAAAGAAACCAGTTGCTCGAATTCTTGCACTAGCAAACTGTCATATGTCATAATTCCAATTTCAACCAACCTCGATTCTCGCAGTAGGCGATGGGTCGATGGGTGCAGTTGAAGCTGTTGAAATCGGGCGCATTGACCAACAACCTCATGGCCCTCCATCTTTGACATCTCCTCGTCGGTATGGGTGCGTGAAAATGACTTTTTACTCATGAAATCAGAGTGAAGGGAAGACCACCAGATCTAACGCGAGATGTTCGAACAATAGCACAACAGTTGAGCCAGGATTTCGCGATTTTTCAATCCCTTTTAACAAGAGGATTGAAAAATCGCGATATCCTCTTGTTAGAAGGGAGACATTCTGAGGGTAAATTAATGATCACCGGGATGCTAAAGTAATGTTTAAAGATTCCATGGGCATGAGATGAGGCTAGATGACGACTGCGATCGAAGAATAATGGGATGGAATGGCGCGGCAGGAATCGGGCTGGAGGATGGAGGAGGAGGAGGAGGGAGAGAGGAGGAGAAGAAGGCATATATTTATGTATGGGGGACGCAGAGGCGAGGCTGGGATGGATGCATTGCCCCCGCCAAGAGCAGCCTGGCCCAGGAGAGAAAAGTAGCGTGGCCGCCTGCTGGTCGTCCCGGAGCGGAGGCTTTCCAAGTGGAGGCAGTAGAGCGATTCAAAACAGGTGTAGTAATACTCAAAAGGGTCGAGTCACGGCGCATTTCTTTCTCTCATTGTAGACAGGATAGTAGGTGGCACTGCGAACGAGAGTCAAGGTTGCATGATGATGGTGATGATGAGGAGGGTGGCGGAATGATACGGGCTTCTGTTTCTGAATGATATGCTGATGTGATTGCTGGCCTGCAATTATCTAAACTGGCCGCAGTAGCACTGCAGCAACGATTGCCTCTACGTGCGAGCAAGATTTGGCAAATACGTCTGTTGTCGGCTGGCTGGCCACTGCCATCTATTTCGCGGTGCTGCCAGAGAGCCATGATCACGAGATGAAGGCCCCCTCTCTGCACCTACAGGAAGCAGGTGACGTATCGGCCAATTCTGCTTCATCTCTCCTCTCTCATCCCGTTCTGGTGGCAGGCCGTTTGTGCGGTGGTAGAAGATTCAATTTTCAATTGATTACGCTGAATTGGACTGTGATCGCAATTTGGCCAGGTTGGCGTCCTGATTGTTGATGGTTTTGCAGCCCAACTGTTGTACTATACTGAAGCGAGAGGGTAGGCGTGAAAGGAAAGGAAGGAGAGCAGGAAAGAGGCGACGCATTGCGGACGTTTCAGGTATGCGGTTTATTTAGCCCGAGACGTTTTGTCACAGACACAGAGATGAGACACATTTGTTTGTTCTGTAACACGGCGTTCTGCGAGTCCTCTTCGGGTAGTCAGTGTCCTTGTTGTACAATTCTAATTCGTCCATTTTGGCGTCACGTGTCCTGAATCGCAGCACCTCCTTATAAATTGGGACCTGAAGTGAGCCAAGCAAGTCGGCGTACAAAATGGCGCGATTCGAGGAAGGTGCACAAGCATGAGAAACCGGAGGCGGTGCTAGACTGCCATTGGAGAAACCGATGGACTGAGCTTTTGGCAGTTGCACGAAACTCTTCCTTTCAACGCAAAGAGAGAGGAAAGGAGGTGGCGAGAGCAATATCGAGTTGCGATTCGAAAGGGAAAATTTTCAACTTGCGTTTGTCCGATCAGCTGATTGATGGGAAATTTTTATTATCGTACTCAGGTTGATTCAATCTCCTCTTCTGTTTCAGTAGTTGCTGACATGTGTTGGGTTGCAGATTATTTAGACGTATCAACCAGTGAACTCGAATCTCATTATCAGAGATGTAACGTGTGTTTTGTCTTGATTCACATAGTTTGTTCACTGTTTACCTGTGGTCGTTACAACACAGTCTCCTTGAGGAATTTTGTAATTGACATACATCAATGTCTAAATTCTTGTCATCTACATTCGAAACTCCCGAAGGATGGTCAATCTTTTCATTTGGAGATAACGTAGCGCTGAAATTGCTAAGTTTTGACTTATTGAAATATCCTGTTAGAATGCATTTTTCTCCGATCACCTTGTTGCATTGGGGCTTATACGTCCTATTTCACTGGATCTCTGCTGATTGTTGTGCATCGCGTAGAGCAGCTACCGTGCCAACAAGTTAAAGAAGATCTTTGTAAAATGAGTATCAGTATCTTCCGTGAAATGTGTTGTATTTTTACGACCTGATGATCGATACATGTCTGCATCCCATCATTTCCTGTGTGATTAGTATCTACTTTGACCACAGAAGGAAGTGTCTTGTGGAACCTCTGTCTTTCACTATGTAGCTTCACTGCAGGCTATTCCATCGTTGGCCTCACTACACTCTCCAGCCCTTCGGGTTTCTGTTTTGCCGCTTTGATCTGTTAATTGCACTCTGTTTTCGGCTTGTTATTTTCTTTCTGTTAGTGGTTTATATCGCGGATTTTCCACTTTCATACTTACTCTCGTCAAGTGTGTCGCTCCAAAATTGTTCACAATCAATTATGTGCGGCAGCCAACTTAATTTTCTACATGTAGCTTTTGTGCGTTGTTCGGCTGGTCCGCGGAGCACTTTTCTTCAGAACGACTCTTTGCGTAATTATTTTTCTTGCATAAGGCGGTTTTTCTGCTGACATTGAGACTCATCGTTGATATTTTTCTCTCTTCGGTACTTTTTTGATGCAGGTTCATGCGCAATGAAAAAAGACTCCAAATCAATCGGGATAAAGTCTTCATTTCTAGCGGTCGAGGATTGTTTTCTATTGTCTAGCTGCCGGAGGTTTACAAACTCGTGGACGCACATTTCAGTCTTCGAGAGTATGGAACTGTCGATTTAATGAACTCTACTGTGCAAGAATCGACACTGCAGGCGATGCCTCCAATCCACCTACCGACGAGTCAGTCTCTAGCTGGTCCATTAGAGAGGGTGAGATCGCGTGACTCAAAATTATGATATTTTGAATGTTGGGCGAAGATTTTGTTTTATTGTTCTGTTCGCATAAGCGTGAATTACAAACTGATAGTAATGACTTGGAATCGACGAAATAGTTTGCTAGACAACGGCAGTGAAATTAACCAATGGGAAGAAAGTGAAACGAAGCATGCTAACTGACGGCTACCCTCTTCAAACTTCAAGAGCTGAGTTGGATGAGCTCCTTGTAAATGCTAAACGACGGTGCAGCTTTGCAGCAGGTCTCAAGGACCCTCCGCATATTTGATGATATTTAAGCCAATGGCTTCCATCACACGTAAAACATTCTTGCTTCCAGCATCAGCCAGCGACTATGGTGTTTCAGGCTACCAGAGAGATCGAATATGAGACCAGAACCAGTGGATGCTTAAGCACCTAGGAATTGGAATGAAATTGCAACGTGCGCTTCTGGACGTCATCTATTCCGAAGATTCTTAGAAGCTTGGTGTACCGCACCACTGACGAGTGAATCTGTGTAAATGGATCAGCTGTCTTTAAGCAGGGTGGACTCCACTGCGAGTCTTTCGCAGATTGAGCTGGACAGTGTGAAGCTGGGGGTCGAAGGATGGGCTAGCTTATCTGCTGGTGTAGGTTCCCAGCGAAACTTACAGGAGTACTTCCAAGAGTCTACGGCGGCAGATGAGGATTCTCACCTCGTGGAGTTCTCCGATGCACTTCAAAGTAAATTGCAGTCCTCATTTGAACAAATTGCGCAGTTACTGTACTTCTGGGCTGGTACTCGGTTGAGTCATATATTTTCATGGTGTGGTCAGTGAATCAGTGGATTCTATAATCACTGTCACCAAATAGTCATACACTGCATTGGATGGAAGGCAATCTATGCCAAATTTGTCGGTGGGTGGTCGTGGGGTGGGGACTCGTCCTTTCCCGTAGATTGTACAATTGATCAAAGTATGCATATTTTCGTTTTATGAAGAGTGTCGCCTCGTTCATCTCTCCAGGCATCACCCATTACAGACTGTTCACCGAAAGTCGCTTACATGATGTCGCTCATGATAGATATCATGCACGTAATTTGTTAGAAAGTGGCTATGAAGTTTTACATCAGATTGGATCAGGCTCTGGTAGGAGAGGACATGGCTTCCGATGCCACAGCCCTCACAGAGAACCTTGTCCCAATGGCATTTCTGGGTCTGTATTCCGGGTCTTCATTTTTGGGTCTTCAGTCTAGGACATGTACAAACAATTTATGTGCAGTTGTGCTCAAGGGTTACGAAGTGCTAAAGACTGAATACTGAACGGGTGCATCTCCTTTTGTGAACCGAGCTGTTGACTAATGAACCATGTCTCACAGCTGTCGCGAGGGCCTTAAGGCAAGTCGCAGACAGTAAAGCCCGTACTCAGGATGAGGCCGCTGAGTGGAAGCGAAAGTACGAACTTGAGGTCGTGCGGTGCCAGCATCTTAGACAAAGTATTGCCAAACTCTCAAGTAATAATCAAGGTGAACTCACAGAATTGATCTCAAACCTCGGATTATTGTGTGGACCTTTCGATATATCTATCTTTTGTTCATATCTTTTCCTTTCTATTCAAAAGTCTGTAGATGCAGATTATTCTAGAGAACTAGGTAAGAGACTTGAGCATGAATGTGGATTGTTTTTTAGATGTGTGGGTCACCAAGCACTAAAGTTTCATGTTCCTTGCCAATATGATGATGAAACATCCATGTAAACAGTTGCTACTATAAAGCGTTGAAGCTATGGCTTGCTATTTTTGAGTGCATCAGATCTGTACCAATTTAGTGTTTATGGTGTTCTTGCAGATGTACAACATGATGGGCCATCGAAGGCGGCTGTAGCTGATTCTGCAGATCAACAGGATTCAGATTCACCAAATGGCATGCACAGTCCACCAAATGGCAACGGAGTTTGTTGTTCAAAAGAAGGAATATGTAGTCAGCAAGTTATTCGAGAGCAAGGCACTTCAAACTCCACTCCTGAATCTGAAAATCCTAGCGACAAGAGGTTATCTTCGGAAAAGGTTGGTCCTACACTTCTTATGAAAAATATACATTTACATTATTTGCATGGCTACCTCGATCAAAATTAGATGTGTTTTGATTTATATTCAATCCCATGTCATGACAGGCATCATTTCGATTGGCTTGGGGCTGCAACGGCAAGAGTAGCAGACGGCATAAACACGATGTTGTTTCGTTTGAGTCTGGGAATATCACCACCGCTGTCCGTAGTAGCAAACAGGTGAGTATGTGCTTGTGAAATCTTCATTTTTCATCTTTATGCTACGCATCTGCATTATCCTTTCTTTTATTCCTACTACTTTTTCCAGAAGCCCCAAATTTTGTATGACTTTCAAAGGTTTAAAGCTCTTATCCTATTTCAATTGGTTGACCACGTGTTCTTGTCGCTACCTACATACAGATAACCCTCCAGTGGGATGCCCCACCTCAATCCGTGTTCATATTAACGAAGCCGAATTCTACTTCAGTAGCAATAATGTGCAAGGAGATGGTGAGGTAATTTGGTCTTAACTTAACTGTCAGTTGAAAAATTGTTTGGTTTCAAAACACTCTGCTGTACACAACTCTGGGCATCATAACTGAATGGTCTCGTGGACACGTGAAATACTTTCACGTTTTGACCTAGTTCATGGATGGAGCTCTGAGCTTGGATTTTTACATTGGGGTTTTTTTTGCGGTAGGGAAGCCCATGTAATTTAACAGCTGTGTTGACGATATGGCCACGATTTTAGGCCGTAGCGTTGGACAGTCATTACTGCAGAACGCTCACTCATTATTTTTTGTGAAGGTGGCTAAAGGAGGTGAAAAATGTGCGCGTGTTCGTTGAAAAAAATGTCAAGAAGGAACTTGTCGAGGAAAATTCTTATTTCAGCTTTCTCCATGCTTGTGAGAGAGGTATAGTTTGTCTTATGCAATTTTTTTTCCTGTAAATGTGGAATATGGTGTACGAAAAAGGTGGACCTAGTGAGGTACTAAATCCCGTTTGAGGGTAAGGTGTGTGGCCCTGATGTTCTTTGCTCATATGGCACTCGGTGCTTCTTCATTGACAGATTCTATCACAACAAATTCCTTCTGTGTTAATACAACTGATCAAAAGTTTATCATAGTCATGTGATTCCTACAGGCATTTCTTGCATTTTTTAAACGCCCACTTTACGCTAATCAAACTGAAGTGACTATTGAGCTCTCTTTTGTTGTGGAAATCGCAGATGAGGAGTTGATGATACTTCACACTAAAATCGATTTAGTCATTACCCTTGGTGGAGATGGGACAGTTTTATGGGTAAATGTCTTTACCGATTCTTGTACTGGCTGACAAAAATCTTTGTCGATATCTTTGCATAAGATTGCTTAGACCTTTTTCCAGCTTCGTACTGACGAATCAATGACGTGATTTATGAGTCTGTTCGGTTACTTCTAGTGCTTAGTACACTGAATTATCATAGTTGAAACGTTGTTATATCTCATTATTTTACCTCATATATATCATATGAATGCGTTTGATTTCAACTGGCTCTTGTGTAGTGTTGTAGTTCTTAGTCGAAATCCAAGTAGAAGCCGTGATGCATCCAGTCACTATTTTGATCTGAAGTGTAGTTTGTTTGGACGTAGCTCTCGTTTGTAATTGGTATTGGGACTTCTTTGTGTGTAGTTGAATATAAGATGTTTTGATACAATTCGACTTATACATAAGGGTGCAGTTCACGAGCGTTTATGCAGTTGTTTTAAAATTTGATGTTCAAACTTGTATGTTGCAGGCAGCGAACATGTTCAAGGGGCCAGTTCCACCTTTAGTATCATTTTCAATGGGCTCCCTTGGTTTTATGACACCATTTCGTATCCTTTTCACTTCAAATAGAAGAGAATATGTATGGTTTTTGAAGGAAGCCTTTCTATCCACCATTCAATTGATTCCCTTACGTGCTACTTAAATCTGTTCTTTGCCTCTCGCTTCGCTCGAACTGTCGAACAGAGTACATATGCCAATTTTAGCATTCTATATGTAAGTTGAAAAGTTGGAGGTCGAGCTATTTTGGAGAATAATGTCGTGTATGACCTTGACTTCAGGATTTCAGAAAGTGAACGTTACAAAGAGTGCTTAGACACCGTGATGAAAGGTCCTGTTTTTATTACTCTTCGTCATCGGTTGCACTGTCGGATCATTCGAAATAAAGACAATGACGAGAATGGTGACGAGGATGACGACGTAGATCACTTGGTTTTGAACGAAGTGTCAATTGATAGAGGCATGTCTTCCTATTTAACAAATTTGGAGTGTTATTGTGATAATTTATTCGTGACCTCCGTTCAAGGGGATGGTCTGATATTGTCTACTCCTTCCGGTAGTACGGCTTACTCCTTAGCCGCCGGAGGTTCTATGGTCCATCCTCAGGTACGTGTGTTCGTCATGTTCTGTGCACATGGAGCATTTCCTTTTTCTCGTCAAATTGACTTGATCAAGTACTCGATTTGCGGATGAAGGCTCTGTTGATTGAAAGTAGCACATGTGTCACATACATTTTAGATTAAATCCCAAGATAATATTTATCAGTGCAAATAAGATTTTTATGCGTAATATTGGACTAACGAATTTCCCCTTTCAGGTACCTGGAATCCTTTTTACCCCCATATGTCCTCATTCTCTCTCTTTCAGACCCCTGATCTTACCAGAATATGTCACTTTGAGGGTGCAGATCCCAATCAACAGTAGAGGTCAGGCATGGGCATCCTTTGATGGTAAAGACCGTCAAAAGTTAAGTGCTGGGGATGCACTTATTGTACATATGTCGGCCTGGCCTGTCCCAGCGGCCTGTGATGAAGAATCCACCCACGACTTTTTGCGTAGTGTGAGGGAAGGTTTGCATTGGAATCTCAGAAAGAGTCAGTCGTTCGACGGGCCTCGAGAAGCGTTAGTTTACAGCAGTTAATCCTTCAAAGGTGTACTCTTTAGTTGACTCTCTTTCTCCTGCTTGGAGAAGCCTCATCAAATAAATGTTTCAGAAAATCTCGTGGTATGGCTAATGCTCCATCTTAGCCTTGTAATTGTAGAGCAGAGCCCAGTTGGCCAGTTGGCCACGTTCAGGAAGAATTACACAGCATATCGAGTATTTGTGCCTCAAGTAGAATCTTATATGTTTATAGCCCTGTATTTCGTGATTTATGAATCTCAAGCAGAACCCCAGGCACCAGGTTATAGGATCGTCTAGCATTTCGATGCAAGTTTTTCGCATGAAAGCTAAAAAATCAATTTAGTAACGTTGATTTGTGTTGCAAATTAACGATGATGAGAGGTACTCAGAATGAGAAATTTCAGCAAAATTTGTTCGTGTCCATTGCAATTGGGAATGAAAGTCAATACCTACCATAATGATCGACCACACCCCTCCTACCGAGTCGCACCGGGAAGTAGTGAATCTGGACATTCTGCTATTAAGTTCTTTGTTTGTAGGCTCTCTGCTCGTTTTTGCTGTGACGACCCCATATTGATACATGTGTGCAGTCCGCTTCAGCGGAAAATGTACTTCAATGAAAATACACCTGCAATCCTCTGTTATGAGCGAACACAATATGTTGAAAATTGAACGTTCTTTGCTTTTGGAGTTATAAAAAATTATTCCATCTTATTTACTACCATGATCACGATGGCACTTGGCTCAGAATTTAGAAAACGACGTTAGCAACTTTGTAACATGCGGTAAAGTACACTAGAATTTCAGGCAATGTAATGTTGAACAAGCAATATGTAGGATATGTGGAACAGTCACATCTGAAACTAACGAGTGAAGTAAAGAGAAACCAAACATGGCTTCGTCGCTAATGCATAAATTCTTCAATCTGGTACATATACTGACAAAGTATTCCTTGATTGTTTCTTTATATTATGGATGTATATACAGTTAACACATCTTGTTAGCTATACATGAACGTTTGCATATGCACTTTTTTTACCAAGACATTCATCAGGAAGAATATTTATGAAAGATTTCGAAAGATGTTTATATCTTGTCTCAAAATGAAGTTGGCGCAATATATCACCAAGTGCTTATTGAAGACTCTAAGTAAATAGAAATCTGGTAAAAGAAGAAATCTATACTTCAACGGTAGTATTATGACCTCTAAATAGATTATATTTCGCAATCATAAGTTGTCCGAAATCATTGACATTTAAGATCACATATTATGCCATGGTATTATACTGTTTTAATTTTAGTTTAATACATCCATCGTGATCATGATGTATATATCTTTAGAACTATCTTAAGTTGTTTGGAATACACCTTGATCTAATGGTGACGGTGTTGTATAGAGCTTTGGGACTATGGGACTTTGGGACATGGATGGTTTTCTAAAAGATTTTGGATCATATTAACATGGGAGGCGAAGTGGATCACATTTGCCACATTTCACATATTCACTTTTTCAGATAGCGCCTTGCACTTTGACGAGCATGAGCTACAGCTAAAGATCTTGAAAGTAGATTCATGATCAGGTATGCATTTTCTAGATCTTCAAGATTTACTCGAATCTGATTTGATTGCACGACATGCGATCAAATCGTGCAATCAAAGAGAGACAAAATTTTGACAAATAGATAGTGGTCTCGTTCTTTTTCTCCTCTCTTATTTCGCTTTCTCTGTATCCGCTGTGCTTTCCAGGATTTATGGAGTATATTCTATGTTCTTGGTTTGTATTGTGTGTGTTGGTTTTGCCATTTTTATTTTTCATCCTCTGTGCCTCTCTTTATTTATGTGATAAATTAAATGGAGAAAATATATTCATTGAGAGTTGAAGTAGCGTGCGTAGGAGGGTGTAATAGACTATGTTTGTGTCACGACCAAGCTCATTTGTTTACAAGGGGTTTGAAAATATCACCCTAACTCTCGACGCGATTGGCTTAATTCCAATAGAATTATTCCAATTCCATCCACAGATTGACAGCTACTTTGAAATCTTCTCTTTAATAAAGCATTACTTGCGCTTTTCCATTAACTGGACCTTTTTTTGTTATCCCTCTCATCTCACGAAGAAATCCAAGGAAGCCATCCTCAGCGAAAGGTACATTTATGTCCAGGGGAATAAATTAGCCACGCAATTCGTCCCGTGCAGATTAAGAAGCTATACACGAGGGAGTGCATCTGTTCTCACCCGAGCGATCAACCCCTTTAACTCAATTTCGGATGTAAAATTTGCCGCGGGCTTTCAAAATTCGAGGGGTGCACGTCAGCTCAGCCCAGGAGCGGGTGGCTTGAGCACCGCCCGGATGCCCGCTCGCCCGCTGACTTGGGCATGGAGGGTCCTCCATCGTTGCGACATTCAAGCCCAGCATTCCTTAGCTTCGCTACGATTTCTGCGCTGGATCGGCTCGTCGGTCCCACGAACTGCACACTTGACGGTTTGCAACAGACATTGGATTGATATTGTCTCGTGACCTGGTTTTTAGAAGGCCTCCGAGACCTGGAAAGGCGACGGTGGAGGACGTTCTTGATTGTTTGCGTTTCCTTGATTTCTTGATTTCTCAAATCCTTGAGCTTATATTTGCTAGAAGCGACGAAGCACATCGGCCTCAAGACTCGTGGACTGATGGTGATCGAGAAGCTTTGCTGCACACTGCTCTGCGAGGTGTGAATCTCGTCAACCATCGAGGTAGCTCAGAGTTGAACCAATGGAAACCAAAGAATGGCCGTTAAGACCTGAAGATATCGACGATCCTCCAAATCGAGATCCTCCGCCTCGATATGCAATTTTGGTGCAAGTCGTAGGAGCTGAGAAGCTATGGGCTGCAGAAGAGGGTGTGGTCATTCCTCCCAAAGTAGTTGAGGGTGGCCCAAAAAATGAAGAGATCGCTGCCAAACTTCCTGAACTTGGGAAGGAAGAAACTTTGGAGGCCGTCCCCGACACTGTCGAGAAGAGCTTTTCCAAGGTATCTGTGTCTTTTAAGTTTCCAGGAGAGCCGATTTCAGAGGCTGGTCCGGAAATCCTTGGACCCGTAGCGCCTGACCCTCTGCCTCCCCCGACTGATCCACCTCCAGTGCTCACTCGGGATCAGGAGGATGACTTGTCAGACTCGGAATTACCTCCTCCTTTGCCACCGCCAGAGCCACCAGTTGTCAAATTCAGCAACATTGCATCTAAAGAGTTCGAAGTGAAATCGAACTATGCTATGTGGCACAAGCTACTTCAAGAACAGATGGAGATAACTGTGTACTGGACTTCTCCTTCTGGGGCAATGACGAAGCCTCTGGGGATGGTTAAGCTCGACCTGTTTCCGGCGTTAGCCTTGAATGGGGAATCAGATGTGTTACAAGTTTCTGGCAAGCTTGAAAAGATTCCAGAATCCCTTGTGGTGGAGGAGAAGGGAAAGGGCAAGAAGGGCAAGAAGGAAAAAGACAAGGACAAGGACAAAGAGAAAGAGAAAGAGAAAGACAAGGATCGCGCAGAAAAACCAGAGAAAGCAGATAAAAAATCCAAGAAGAAGAAGAAAGATGCATCGGAAGAAGCTTCACTGGAGGAGACTCTGCCCGTTCTTCTGGAGGACGCTGTGTTGAAATTTGCAGTGTCCACTAGTGAGCCTTTCTGGTCCGAATGCAATCGCCTCCATGGTTTGGTGATGGAGGTCAGCATCAAGGGTGTGCTCAACCTTCCCCCAAAGGTTGCAGAATTTGGAAGTAGGGTCGGTAAGACCGAGAAGAGTGACAAGGGTGAGAAGGTTAAGGGCGGAAAAGGTGAGAAGGGTGAAAAGGCCGATAAACCCGAGAAGCCCGAGAAAGCGAGTAAGGGAAGTAAGGGTGAGAAAGGCGATAAGGGCGATCCGTTCTCTTACCTTCTAGTTTCAAATTTTCCAGGGTTTATTGGTACATATTGGTGGGAGAATCTGAAAGGGTTGTTGCCCGAGCAGAGAGCTGAGCTTGAACGTATAAAACTGGAGTCGGGAAAAGTGGAAAAAGAGGAAATAAAGGTCCCTGTCCCCATCATTCGCGATCCCGAACCCGAACCTGAACCTGGGTCTCAGGCAGCTTGTTGGAAGGAGGTGAAGAAGATAATCAATGACAATTATGAGGATGAAATTAAGGCCTTGCTGTTAGAAGAGGAAGAACGAAAAGCACAAAAGGAGGAGGAGAGGAAAATGTGGGAGCTTCGGGAGAGGTTGTTGTGCTGCGATAAGTCGATAACCGAAGAGGATGAATGGGAAATTTTTCGTGAGAAGGCCGACGAAGATCCAGAACCCGTCGTAGCACAGCCAACGGAGAGGCTGTTAATAAAATGGCCAGATGCTCCATTCCCCATAATCAAGAGGTTCTTACCGGGCAGAGGGGCAATAGACATGCTGTCAGCCATTAAAATGGGCTCGAAATTCAGAGGAGAGTTGGCAAGATATTTGAAACCGCCGACGGATTTATACGACCCAAGCTTTGAAAAGTATCGCGGTTGCTTTTTCTTAGATTTATCAGGATTCCTCGAGGAAGGCGTCACCTGCGTTGATGTGGAGGTACCCTTTGAGCAGTTTACTCTGTCAGGAGCAGATCATGGAATTACATTCTGCCAAGCTCCACCTAAACCTTCCGGCAAGAAAGCACCGAAAGTCGTCGAAGATGATGATCCTCTTCCGGAATCAGTGGACCCAGAAAACGTCCTCCCTAACAACTCGTGGCAGGTCTCCAAAGCTGTCGTGTTGATGCAGGTTCGTACAAACCGTCCACTGCAACCAGTTTGGAAACCCCCTCCTCAACCGGACATGACCTTGGAGGAAGTTATTCCTGCGCGGAAAAAGGCACATACTGTCTACGACGCTGTCAAACTCGCCACTCTAAACTTCGGAGAATTCATAACAATTGCAGCTGACGACCTTATAGATATGTATCAGGAGTTAACGAACGAGAAAGCCCACAAAGAGGAATCAGAAGATGATCATTCTCTTTCTCCAAAGTCCTCTAAAAGGTCAGTCCACCATCTTGGTGCCAAGTAAAAGGATTTAAACATGATTTACTTTCTTCGACCCTAACTTCACCGCAACCTAACATGGTTCAACACATGGTGGTAGTATTGGACTGTCTGTATCTTAGAGATGTTCAGGTACGACTAGAAGAATCCAGCTGAAAGCCCAAATTGCTTGATTTCGAGCTTGAGCTTACTTGACTACACAGTTCTAGGTATGTGTCGACGCTAGGGCTCTGATCAGGAGGCTGATGTCGACCGGAGGCAGTAAGCCTTTATCATCGACGGCATCGCTATTCACCAACAAGAAAGAGGCCATGATCTTTAGTAGGTCTCATGAAGGAGCTTTCATTCTAAACCTTCGGCAGTTACAGGCTAAATTTACATGGGGTGCGACTTAGCAAGTACTCGATCTTGCGCTGAAAAACAACCACTGTATGCGACATGTAGTGAGTTGATGACTCGACAAAGTTAGCGTTTCGATTCGTACCCTTTTTTATCAGCTGCAGCATCTTAATTCACATACCCGTCGGCAGAGTGATCACCAAACCTTCGAAGAAGCTTAAAGACAAGGCCCCAATTATTACAAGATCAGGGTTTATTTCGGTCAGTGATTAATCTCTTTTGTTCGTCAGGATTGAAACCAAAGGAGAGATTAGAAAAAAAATGGTCAGAATGCTTCGGAAAAGTGGAACTTGGAATGACATGATGGAAGAGATGAAAGTTAGAGTCCTGAAGGTCGCATCTGAGAAGTTCAGAGAAAAGAGAAGAGCCGCTTTAGACGTTGGAAAATTTGAGTTTTGCAATGATCTCTATATCACTCTGGCTGAGGTTATCTACAATACTCTGAAGGAGCTGATGATCAAGGTAAGCCAACCTATTTGTTATAACTTCTTTTGTGAAGTTTCAAGGCAAACCCTTTGCTACCCTGATATACTCCTTGGCTAGAAAATCCTCCAATTCCTTCTAGGCGTCCATATCCAGCAGAAATCTGAGCAAGCCATGCCCGTACTTTCTCAGCGCATGCTAGAACGACTAATTAAGTGGCAAACCTTCTGGTCTGTAGAAAAGAGAAAACAAGGAGAAAGAAGAAATGAAGGACGTTGACAGGCTCAGAATTTTGGCAGATGAATATGAGGTACATCCCTGGCTCCGTCGAACTAGGCTCACAATCATGAGCTTCTTGAATTAGAGTCCAATAACCGCGCATAGACGCATATGACAGAACAATATGTTTTCAGTCGCAGGTCAATGGACCGTAAGAACCTAGAAGTCCTATCATGTCTTGGCCATGAGAGGAATCTCCCCAGTCAGAAAAGGTTCATATGATTAGATGGAGATAAAATTTGATTTTTGTCGAGTTGTTTCAGTTTTATGCTCCAGCTGTTGGTGTTCCCACCCGCAAGCTTTATGTAGGCAAAATATAACAGCCTGACGTCAACCAAGTCTCGGAGGTTAGAAAAGCAATATCAGTCTCCATACGTCGCTCTCACGGAGGCTAAGATATCGTTAATATGAGAAATAGAGGTCATCTTTGAAGTTATAATCTTTATAGGGGTTTGCACTGACGAATAGAGAACATCATCGAATTTTTTCTCTACGTCTTCAGTGCTGCATTGGTCGTCTAATATCTTTGAGCAGGAACTGATTGAAAAAATAATAATAGGAACTATATTAATCGGGATATGGCTGTGCATGGATAGGCATCGGAAGACTACGTGAATGCGTATAGATGCCATCAAGAAAGGCTTAAAGGAGACAACATGAAATCTGCTGATTTATGGTTTGAATTTGGCTGCTTCTGCATGCGTGTAAGTAGATATCTCTATCGCAAAATGCACTGAGGGGACAACACATTTGATCAACTTTCTTCCTGTTTCTGGTCAGCTCTAAGGAGTTAATCGTTCACAGTAGAAGCCCTGTCCCATGTCAATAGACATTAGAAGCTACTAAGTCCTTTCGCCTTGACAGGTATTGATTAAATCTCCAGATTACATAAAGGAACTCTAGCTAGACTACGCTAGATTTTTTATCTGTAAACTGTGGACTCTTGTTGTTTTTGGAACTGAATACACTCTGGACATGGAAAATATACGATCCTTTAACTCCAAAGCAACAACTATCTTGATCTCTTCTGACTGATAAAGGTGAGGCCAAAGGATCAAGGGAAGGCCGAGGAGTGCTGGAGGGAGGCACTTACTCTAGACAACAGGCACTTGCTTAGTCTACAGGCATTGGGATGTCTCTTATGGCATCGAGGATATCTTACTCAAGCTGAAGTTCTCCTTCGAAGCGCAGCAGATATCCACTCAATGGAAGAACATATAAGTTGGGTCATTCTCAGCCAGGTAAACTGGTGAACAGGATTGAGGCAAAGGATTTATGATGCAACATAAGATACATCAGATATAGTTCGGTGACCTGTATTGTACATACCTTGCAAGATGCAATATCTAAACCTTCATGAATATAGCTTGAATGTTGCTTTTGGTAGATCAAATACTTTGGTTCTCGTATTGCTGATAAGTTCTTTGCTTAGATATACGCTGCACAAGGCAAATTCGACAACGAGCGCTCTTCTTTGAGAAGAGCTGAAAAATGTTATGATTTGGCGAAAAGTTACCGAACACAATATAGTGCTCCCCATCAACTCCTTTCACCGTTGATTCGATTCCCGTTCAGCCTGGGCCATCTTATCCATTCATCAAAGAAAACAAGTTCAGTTTTTATCGACGCTGCTGCGTTCTTACTGGACATGCACCTGCCGGTAGAGGCGCACATTGTGTTGAAGCTGGATTCTGACATTTATTCCTGTACACTGGACAATAAGTGGTGTGGAGCAAGAGCTTGTGAAATGAGTGGAGATTTGAAAGGGGCAGAAAGCTTCATAAAGGAAGCACTTACTATCTCTAAGGAGCATCAGGTTACATGGCTGCTCTTAGGGCATCTAAGATACAGCTACAAACCTGACTTCGAACTTCCAGTGCCCCTCCAGTCCAGTTTGTGGAAGGGTGCCATCGACGCCTATGCAAAGGTATACACCAACCAGCATCCATGTTTTGGACATCCTTTATTCTTCATTTCACAAGCTCTCAGCCAGTTGACATTGCTTACTTCCATCAAGAACCCCATCGAGTCTCCTGAACAATTTCCAGTGTCATTCAAGAATTATCCTTAAAGCTGCTTATAGATCTCACAGCACAGCATTGTCACTAAATATCGAAGCCAGTTCACAAGTTTTTCATCGTGCTGACATTGCCTTCTCTATATACCTGATCAACAGTATTTTAAATACCATGGCGTATCCGAAGATATGTACCAGTATGTCTATCTGGAAGTGGGTCGGGCGTACTTCAAGCTCGGGGAACTAGACAACGCTCGGAAGTCATATTTGCAAGGGTGTACTGTTAAGCCCACCAGTCCAAGCTTCTGGTTGGAAGCTGGTATTACGTACTATCACATGGGAGACTTGAAGCACGCAGAGTTAGCCCTGGTCGAGGGGAATGTTTTGGACGTTCAGAACTTTCAAATCTGGGCCTATTTGACTCTTGTCTGTCTCCGTATGGGGAGAGACGAAGAAGCAGAAAATTCTTTTCAGCAATCATTGAAAACTAACATGGATCCGGACTTGTTAGCAACTATAGCTGATCACTTTTGCTGCGTCGGCAATTTCAGGTATCTCCCTACCTATTATAGTCGTGAAGGATTGTATGTTTGAAGCCCAAGGAAGCTGCGTGGTCTTTTCAATCGTTCTCCCTAGTTTGAAACGTGTTATAACAGTCAGCCTCATGATTTGCATTTCAGCATTTGTCCTCATTTTGAGACAGCTCTTTATAATAATAGGCGATTATAAAACTATATCTTTTGGTCTTCTCTACACAGTCTCTCCATGGTATGCACAGACAGGTTCACAACATACAAAACAAAACTCTTCCACCAATCAGATAGAGAAGCTAGACACTGCTAGCTAAGGAGATCTCGTGATTCTCTTCTCATTGGACGTAGACATTAACGCAATGTTGTATGTTTCTTGTTTGCTTTCTACAACGAGCATAAAACCACAGCAAGATATAGATAACAAAACAACTAAGAGAGGGAAGCAACACATTCTGCGCAGGCCTTCTAAGCGCCGAGAGTAACGTATGCTTTCACTATATAATTAGCTGACTTTTGTATTTTTTTACCCGGTACACTTGTTCTTCTATGAGGACGGTATACTCTTCCTCCTTCGATGTATCCCCTTTTCACAAGCACTGTCCAGGCGTGATATGCGTCCTCTGATCGCGACACTGACAGCCTACTTAATCAGTGGTCTAATTTTCGAATGGAATGCTCACTCTAGGGATGGAGAGACGGCTTTCACAGAGTCTTTGAAGCTGAAGGAGTCTGCATCTGTGAGGTTCTACAGAGCGGAGATGTACCATAAAATAGGGAAGCTGTTACTGGCCAAAGACGATTACAACATAGTTGTGAAACTTCCAGATGTTTCACCCCTGGATAAGTCACTGTCCATCTCTAGACTTACAGAGTTGCATGATGTAGTGAAAAGTCCGCCCATCAACAGGTATCCGCAAGAGCCAAATTATGAAGTTTAGAGAACGATGTAGTGGAGCTCTTTCAAAATCTTTTTGATCTTTTAAGTTCTCAATAGATGAGGATGTGCCTTGTAAGTTGCCAGGAGCTTTTATGTCGGTGGCCTTTATAATTATAACCGTCTCAGGATTCATAGATGATGTGGTTAAGTGCTCAAACTAGTCTGCAGTTGAATCTAAGTAGATAATGTCGACTGCGTAGGTCAATCGCGTTTGTTCCTCTAAGGTAATATCTTTCAAGTATTTCTTTGGTCTCTTCATCCCTCTTGATCAATCCGATAATCAATCCGTACTTTGCGTGGGGATTGCTCATGGCATGAGTCTCTACTTCCATTAAGTTTATACGGAAGTTTCTTTTCAGTAAGACACCCATAATATCATGATTCGACACTCACTTGCTACGAGCTTCGTATCATGTTCGTGCTACCCCATGTCATTTCCTGTAGCGAGTAATCTGACAGTGTGGAAAAGTTGTGACCAAATACCAGGAATGTGACAAGTCAATAGCCATGTAATTGTTGGACGATTTTTTTGATGCTATCATCCAGTTCCAACCTTGGAGATCACTCTTAGGTGTCTAAGTAGTTTCAATGTGTGTTTCTTACTAATAGCTATAATTAGAATATTTTCTCTCTATATCTAGTATGTTACAAATTGTTTAATCAAGTTTTATTTTATCTTTCAAACAGTGATTCTTTTGTTGTTCTACCCTTTATCATGGTATAAGAGTACTTCTCTCTCTTGCTTCACGATTGTTGAAGCAAGAGATGTTTTGAAAGATAAGATGATTTGAGTACACATGTTCTTTCTTGCAATAGTGATTGTTGAAAGATAAGTCTTTTGTTTAGTATAGTATTTCATCCCTGACTATATTAGGTAAAGACATTAGTTCTGTTCTTGGCGATAAAGCATTTAGTACGCTTTGTCTCGTAAAAGAGCGGCGGAAAAAGATGCTTTTGAGCAAGATTTTTGTTGCTCAAATTCATCACACTAATTCGTCAATTCCATAAGTTAAAAAAAATCAAAAGGTATCTCTAAAAAAAATGTTGTCTACATGACCAAAAAATAAATAAAGAAATTCAAAATTTTTGATATCCTTTCTCAATTTTGTAACACTTAAATTTTAAAACAACATAACTTACTATCTATACGTGATCTATGCATGAAATTTAAGTTGACATGTAGATTATTTTCCAAATACAAACGCATAAAAATTTTCAAAAGTTAATTCTAAATATAAAGTAATAATTTATTCTGTACAAATTTGTCCAAGATCAAACTTTTGATATGCGTGAAAATACTCTTAACTTTCAACACTCTTAAATTTCTATGAACATATGATATATACTTCAAACAAAAACTGAAATATATCTCACCTTCATTCTGCAACAAATAAAAATTTTTGAAAACGTTTTGAAAAAAATATTTTTTTTGGTTTCTAACACCACTTTTATCTCAACAGAACTAGTTCGGGAGAAACAACACCTTCCTCTAGTATCTATTCCCGTCAACTCAAGTCTTGCAACATTCACAGTAAAGTCACATAGAAAAAAAAAGTCTCTCAAAACTTACGAAAACCCTAAATAATGTAGAAACCCTTGAATCCTCATCCTGCAAAACACAAAATTGGGATTTAGTGGAATGAGACGTACACTCTTTACAATATAGTAATCTAAGAAAAATTTCAAAAATAAAACAGAGTACATGTGTAAAACAACTGAAGTACAACACATAATACGAGTTTGAATTACATGTAGTACAACTTGAAACTATGTAATACATTCAATTCAGGTACAACACGTAGTATGAATTTGAAGTACATATACTTAACTTGAAAGTATGTAGAACATTCAACTCAAGTACAACACGTAATACGAGTTTGAAGTACATATAGTCAACTTGAAAGAATATAGTACACTCAACTCAAGTACAACACGTAGTAGGAGTTTGAAGTACATATAATTAACTTGAAAGTATGTTGTACTTTTAATTCAAGTACAACACGTAGTACGAGTTTGAAGAACACATAGTTAACTTGAAAGTATGTTGTACATTTAACTCAAATAAAACACGTAATAAAAATTTGAAATACATATAGTTAACTTGAAAGTAAGTAGTAAATTCAACTCAAGTACTACACATAGTACAAGTTTGAAGTGCATATAGCTAACTTGGAAGTATGTAATACATTCAACTCAATTACAACAAGTAGTACGAGTTTGAAGTACAACTTGGAAGTAGATAGTACATTCAACTCTAGTTACAATTAACACAAATAGCACCCACACTATTTATGGTTTTTCTCTCTAACTTATACTCACACAAAACACTTATCACATTGTAATCTAAAGCATGAAATAAACTTCACGACAATGTATAAAAATAATTGATGATCTTTTTCCTCCACCAATGTCTTCTAGCATGTCTCTTACATTTGCCATAAAAAATGATGAGATCACAGCAACTTTGTCAATCATGATCTCATCATTTTAGAGAATGTATCATTTTGAAGTAACATTTAATTACGGTGTATGATTCTTTCAAATCCAACTTGCACTATCTAGATGTGGATTGTTTGACTTTTATAATACATCACACTCGATTCATATTAGTCAATAGGATAGGGTAGCTTGTTCCAAAACTATTGTAATTTTCATAAATAATGCAAAGAATAATGTAATGAAGAAACTGAAACAAAACAATGAGACATTTTATGCTGATTTTCCTTAAAACATTGGTATGAATCATAGAATGGTACTTGCAAGGCTTTTCTTATAGGAATATTCTTTGTTTTGATTAAAACTGACTTTATTACAATGAATATTCATCTGACTCAGGTTAAAAACATAATGGATCAATTAGAAGAAATCAATGTCGGATTGTTAGATGAGATCATAGTGTATTATGACTTTAAAAACTTCCATGATATTATAAGATTGTACGGCGCATGTTAATGGAAAATTTTGTAGTTCCTTTACTTCAAGAAATAAAATTCATTTTGCTAAGTGAAGAAATAATGATCCGTTTAATCAGTGAAGAGAAGGCATGAGAGACATTCACAATTCAGCGAGATAGAGTACATACTATGATCACTATCCGAACCAATGTTGGCAATAACAGTAACTTATCAAGTTACAACAACACACGTTTCCATTGTGATTTGATTACTGAACGAAATCAGTCCCATACTATTCCTCTCATGGCTCTAGTTCTAATCCTAGTGATACATCTATAAGTCGTTCATCAACCTAGGGATATTTCATGTCGATAGAACATTTTGTAGTGACTTTTGCATGTGTGAAGGACATCTCAACCTAAGATACAAAATCAAGGTCCTCATTGATCAAATGCTCAACATGGAGCATTGTCTTGATGTTAAAAGAATACAACAATGAAGAACCAGATTCTATAAAAGAAAATTTTGTCAATTCTTACGATACAAATAATGTAGAATTGTACACTATTGAGATTCTAGATCCACTTTCCACATCGACATATGTTATTACTATGACGTTGAATATTATGAAAAATACTTCATCATGATTGTGATCTTGATTCAAATGCCATACACAACATCATCAAAAATTGGTCAAGTTTCACAACCATCCAACATCAATTGCAATGACGTTAGTTTTGTTGATGATCATAGACATGACTTTCTTGATATTAACCATATAAGTGTCTAGTTGCCAGATAGACAAGTACAAATTGTTCCATAGGTATGTTATTCTTTCATCATTTGGAACAATTTTGTTTTCTTAGGGTTGATTATTGACAATAATCACAATTTTGAATTCTTGTTAGAAGGTTGCTTCATCAAGAATTGATTCACGAGTGAATCTGTTCACACCTGAGTTTGTTGCATATGTTCATAGGGAGGATCGTTAAAGTTTGTACAAAATACAAGGCAACTACATTACGTGTGTTGAAGTAAACACCGCCACCATCAACTAGACTAACTAGACATCACCACCGGACAACTAGACATTTGCATCCTCGACTAGATCATTTCAACAACAATAGACTATCAATTTTGACTATTGTGGATAGCAGGCTTGTACAAAGATTCCTAAGTGTGGTATCATGTATGCAAGTGTCTCTTTCAAATTAGTACATTTGTACATTTGTGATCCATTTTGCACATTTATTCTAGGAATTTCTAGGTATTTCATAATTTTTGTTGAAGATTACAGTTGATTTCTCTGGGTTTACTTTTTAACCCTAAGAGACTAATGTCTTGATAAGTTCAAATTGTTCCATTGAAAAGTTGAAAAGCTAAAGTATAACTACAGCTCAACATATTTACTTTAACCATAGACAACGATGAAGAATATATTTTTCAACTTTTCATCAACTATTGTTTTCCCCACGACATAAAGCAACAAATTACTGTCTTATATATTCTTCAGCACAATCAATACTTCCTTGACATCACAAGATGCTTGTTGATAATAAAAAAAACTTTCCAATATCTCTAGGGCCAAGCGGTTCAAACAGCATGTGAGATATTCAATGTAAAAAGCTCAAAGGAGACTCTTGATGTTATGGTTTGTAAGCTTCTCAAAACTTTTGTATTTCATTTACAAGTATTTGGTAGCAAGTGTTTGTACATCAAAACTCTCCTAAAGGTAAACTAGATTCACACTCTATTGAGTTGCATACTTTTGAAGTATGATACTTGCGCCAAAGGTTATTGATGTTATTGCATTGGTATTCAAAAGATGTTAGTATCACAAAATTATTGAAAAATCTGAATTAGATTCATTATCAACGGGTGTGATTGATGATAATCTATTGGTTGCAGCAGCCTTTGAGTCAATGATGTTTACATCAACATGAGCATCAATGTTTATAGTTTTGAGCGTTATCAATGAACCAAAGATGGTTGATCAATTGGAGACTACATCAAACTTTCAACTTTTGACACTTGAATAAGTTGTCTATTCAAAGATTCAGCAACTCCAACCATTGTGGTTAGTTTCAATTCGCACATTTCTAACTCTAGTTATTCTTTTTCAAAAAACTTGACTAACGGCAAGTTCAACTCCTTCCAAACTTGGCCCAATTTGCAAATTAACGGTGAATCAAGCCACTTCTCATGTAACAACGTTGTAACTTTCATGAACCCATTGATTCACCGTTTACCTTGCTAAATTTCTTAACCTATCATGATCGTGATCAAATGAATGAATCTTCATTAATTATCACATTGTTCATATCACAAGATTAATCAAAATCTTTGAATATTACTGCTGGGTTATATCAATCAAACCGATTACAACAAGCTTTTTGTCACTTGAATTCTTACAGTACATAATTATTTGCAAATGTCAATATTAATCTTATACTAGTTGATAGAAACAAGTTGGAGTTCTATGACAACAACCTTGTGGGAGCTGCTACCTCTAATTTTAGACAAACGTTTAATTATTGCACAATGAATTTTCAAAGTCAAGCTTGGCTCTCCTTGCCAACCATCCCAATACAAGATCTAATAAGTTGCCTGCAGCTTTCAACAGCAACAAGCCTTTGATT